TAAATCTGAAAGTGACATTAAGGTTTATATTAGTAAGGTAAAAAAAAAGTAAAACATAAGAGCAACTCTACAAAATCTCCATCTAGGAATAAATCCAAGCAATCCAAAAACAAAAAAGAAAAAGCAAAGCTTCAAGCTAAAAACCCATTCAAGTTTTGCAAAGGAGACCAGAAGAAGATTTCCAATTCTAGTAAGTTACGAAATAAATCTACTGTTATTGATAAATCGCTTCAAAGGGTTGTACTAGATATGCTTGATGGCATTGCACCTATAAACTAGATAGAAAAACTCAAAGCTAAGATTAACACCAATATGCTAGTTTATGCTAAGAGTTTACTTACTTCAGCTCTATCTATTCAAAAATCTGATTTTAGTAAAACTATCTTTGCCAAAAATTATAGAGAACTAGCTCCAGAAATACCTGATTCAGATGATAAGTTTATTAATAACCTCATAGAAATAGATTTTGTTCAAAGAAAAGATCTGGCTACAGATGTTATAACTACAAAATGCAAGATCAAGCGACTAGTAATTCCAGCAGCTACTGTTGCTAATTTTGCAATTATGTCTGAAGATATAGCCAAATAATTAAAGTTGATAATTAATACAAAAGATAAACATGTTCTTAGAGATATTGCTACTATTCCTACTGAATCTCTTGGAACCACCCGAATTGTACTAGTGGACTTTACTTCTGGTTGTACCATATACTCTGATTTTGCAGTGGTTAAATACTCCAAGCCAATATTAATTTTACATAATATGTTACTTGACAAATATAACTACAATTTACTTGCATCAAGACAGGAATTGAAACTTGTATGCAATAGTAAGAAGTTTTTTATCCCGATAAATATATACAAAGTCAAGAATAATCTCAAAGTAAACTGCGTAACTGTATCTTAGGATAATATATCTCTGGTATCTGATCAAATTTTACAGAAGAAATGGCATGCTCTCACAGATTTTAATATAGATTTTAATGATTTAACTTTTTAAAAAAAATATATGAGCTATGAAGAGTTAGAAAAATCATTATATTAGATACTCGAATTCAATACTGAATTAATCAAGCTTAATAAAAAACTATGGGTTTATAACAAATCTGATATTGAAATAGTATATAGACTTGAAGAGCCATTGCTTTGCAATAGATTGCAAACTACTTTAGAAAAAACAAAAACAGATTAGTTAGAATCTAAGACCCTTTTCATATCACGTTTAGCTTCTTTTCTTTCTTTATAATTTTGTACAAGCTTAACTTGTAAGTTATCTATTTCATCTACTTTGTTTATCAGAATATCAGTTATACCAACCTTATTAGCTAAAAAGCTAGCCTCCATACCGGATCCTGATTTTCTTTTTTTTGACTTCTTATTTGAAGTATTATTTTTAAACATTATTTTAGAAGAAACAACACTATGTATTAGTTGCTGTTTGCATAAGAGTATTCTTTCAGCATGTCTTTTCCAAATTTTATATATTTTACGAGTTGAAGTACTATATTTATAAGCCATTTTCCTGCATGCATTTTTAACTGTCCCTCGAGATTGAATAATTTTCTCAATAGCTTCTGGTGATAAATAAGGAGTACCAGCACGATAATATTCTACAGTTATGTGTTCTATCTTTTTTATAATTATAAAAAATTATTGAAAATTATTGAAAATGCTAAAATACTTCTATCAGTAATCATAGGTAATTACATATTTAATATTCAATAATTTTCTAAAAAAATCAGTAATTATCTATTATTGTTGAATTATATTGGAAGTGAATTTCTTTGATAGCATTACCAAATAATTATAGCGGAGCTAGACTCGAAGAGTCATTACAAGGTAATAGTATCTCTAACACATATTTTATCATATATATGTTCCATATTTTGTTATTTTTCATAATAATTCTCTTTATTTAATATGGACAATATAATAGATCTTAAGAAAGAATTATATATCACCCTTCAAGATTCTTCTAAGATAGTCTTATATAATGCTAAATTGCAGGATAGATATGAAAATCAAGAAAAAAAATTAATCAAGAAAGAGAACAATGAGATCGAGATAGAAAGAAGTGAGGTAAAAAACTAGGAGGGGCTAATACTGAGATCCAGAAATTACGTACTCATGATCTCGAACTCATTGATAAAGCTAGGCATTTACAAATTGAAAATGCTAATAAAGACATTTTTCTTGTGAAATCCAAAGCTGAGAATGATATAAAATCTAAAAAAATCAAATTACTCTAGTCTATGATCAAGATATTGAAAGATAAGTTATCTTCAGCCCAGAAAGATGTGATTTCGATTCAAAGCAACTTATCGAAAAAAGAAACTGAGATCGTGCCCCTCAAATCCAAAATAGCTGAATTAGAAAATATAAGGAGTGAATTGGAATCAAAGGTTAATGAGCTTGAATGTCTGAAATTAAAGACTATATCGAAACCTATAGTTGGTGGGGATGACGAAAAAAATATTACTAAGTCTGATAATATATCTTTGGGTAGTACTAATCTTATTAAATATTTTATACATAGAAAAAATATGAATCAAACTGAAAAAACTGATAGTAATATATTGATATATACTAATGATGAGATTACTGAACTATCAAAAAATAATACTAAGACCAACTCCAAGGTAAGTAATGAAACTAGTATTAGCGAAATAATATGTCTGCTTTAATTGAATCGAATTCTCAGATAAGGCCTGGTCTTGAGGCTTTGCCTCTTCCTGCTGTGGCAAGTATTTGATGTCACCACTATTAGTATATATTTTTCTTATTTTGTTGATTATCGCAATTATGTGGTTCATGAGACGTATATGAAATATAGGTAGGCTCAAAGAGCCATTACTCCACAGGCCTAAGATATAAAGTGTCATTATTCTATAATAGGAGTGAATCTAAAGGGTCATAAAAAAAGTGATCGATTACGGGATATGTAGATCAGGTAAACATCTATTTAAATTTGGATATTATTTATGTACAAAAAAATATTATTAATATTGTATAAATATCTTAGTAAATTGTGATGATTTTAGCTAAGAATACTTAACAATAGATTAATGATATTATCAATGTCTGATAAGTTATTTTTTTTACTGCCATATGTAATTGATAATGCTTGAAGCCGGGTAATTTCAAGGCCAACCACCTTATACTATATATTTCTAAAATCTATTAATTCTTGACACTCTGATTTCAAATCATATAGAAATATATATTGTTTTAGAATTGTAATTTTAGGTTTGCATTTTAATTAAATTATACACCATATTTTTATATTCTATATTAAGCTTAGACAATTTTGAAAGTAGATTTAATAATTTCAAACAAGTGGAGTCTATAATTTTGTTTAATATATTAAGGTAATTATTATGCTCCACAGAGATATCTAAAGATCAGATTATGCTAGCTTCACTAATGCCAAAATATATTTTTTTAGCTTGAGTAGTAGTATTTTTCTATAAATAGGAGATAATGGCTTCATCTTTTTTCAGTGCATTATGTAAGTTCTTAATAAAATTTTTGAGCCATTTTTTAGCTGACTTCTGTAACTCTTTATTTTTAATTTTTGCTATTTTATCTTCATCTAGACTTGAAGAGTTATTGCTCTGCAATAAATCCTTAGCAATTTTTAATTTCTTCTTCTTGGATTTCTTTTTGTGATTCATGACTTTTGAGAGAGATTCAGGCAATAGTTGATATTTATCATCATAATTTATAAAACGAGCACAGAGACCAAATAGACTTTCAATATAATAATCAATACAGTTGTCCCTCGTTTATATCAACCTATTTGGACTACCATTATATTCATATTGATATAATATTAATGAGAATTTATATTAAAGTTGATATATATGAGAGGATTTTAATATATAAAAATTTATAAAAATTTAATTTGTAGCTTAAGTTGATATTAATGAGGTTGATATTAATGAGAGTTAACTATATTTATTTTTTTGTTGAACTTTTTTACTACATCTGGATATTCCATATAGTCTCCTTTTTGTTGTAGTATTTTTTTCCCGCAGTTATCATAAATCTCTTCAGATACTACTACAATGTAACTAAATCGTTTACTAGGTTTGGGGACTTTATATAGGCATTTATTAGTAGAAAAACTCTTCTTTATAAGCTGTTGATTTTTCAATACTTCACGAGAATACTTAGCCTCTATTCGTAAAACAAACTATTCTACAGAAATATTTTTCAGCTTACTTTTCTTTTTAGGCCTCCATATACATGTTTGAATAAATTTATCATAATCTAACTTGGAAAGTTTTTTCATATTTTCCCAAAGAACTTTTTCAACAATCTGGTGTATTGTCTCCTTATTACTAACTTTCAAAGTTCTATTCATAATTTCCTTACCTATATCATGAAAAAGCTTAGATTGACCTCTTTTCACAATATCCACCTCTCTAATAAAAAGCTTACCTGGATTAAAGTTTGGTTTATTTTTATACTCTAGACTATAGTATTTTTTCTTTCCTGTAAATACCACAGGAAATAAGACCTTCTCATATGCCATATTAAGATAAAGTATTCCATTGTTTTTTTCAAGCTCAGTACTTACTTAATTACAGAGATTTGCTATCACTTTCATAGATATTTTTACCATTTCTTCCCAGTACTCTTCTTGTGAGAGTTGATTTAATTTATACTTTCGATTACATTCCTGGAAACACTTCTCTGGACATGTAAAATATAAAGAATCGGTATTTCTATATTTAACGCTAAACCCTTTGTCTTCAACAAATTTAATATTATACTGTCCAGCAGAAGTAACTCCACCTGCTAACTGCAGTTGATAGAATAGAGAGAGATTATTACCTGTCTTACCATAAAATGTATTCATATATAATTTTACTGCTTTTTATTTTGAGTCTAAGCAACTATATTCAAAACTTTTTTTATCTAATTCATTAAGGTATTTTTTTATTTTCTTTCATTTATTAAACAGATTCTCTAATACTCTAGCATATAAACCCTTTTCTTTAGGTATATTATTGTAGCAAATAGACCAAACTTCTATAGTTTGACTATTGAATAGAAACTTAATCATGTGGATCTTCTTTTCACTGTGAATTACATTTATTGCCTCTTCACGAGATAATATTATTTTATATGGTGAAAGGTTGTAAGTCATTATAAGACTTGGGTATAAGGAGACAAAATCTAAGCCTATTACTGGACATTTGTTTTTGAGACCCTTTATTGATATAATAACATAAGCTCCTGGGTACTTACTAGATTCTGTATTTTCTGAAGCAATCATACTATATAATATATTACTACTCCAAGCTTCAGCTCCCAAAAGATTACATACTTTCATACCTCCTGCAAAATAGTGAGCATCAGAAAGAGAAACATATGCAATAGATGACACCTCCTAATAATCATTAACTATATTACACTTAACTATAAGCTCCTGGCATCGCAATGTATCTATAATACAATAATAGGCTATTTTATGCATGTTTTTGGCTGAGCTGTCAGAGTTTTGAAGTATAGTATCTCATAGTATTTCCATATTTTATTATAAGGTATATCTGCCTTACTATCTAACCCACAGATATTTAGATAATATTTCAGTGAACTTGCTTCTGATTTTAGATATAATTTTTTGAAACAAGCACAAACATCAATAGATATACATCCTGGGATTTTGAGATACTTTGAGTAGAATTTCTTATCAGATATCTTTATCTTACTTTTTTGATATTTCCATTTTATAATTTCTTCAATATTGGATAGCTTGGGTGATATATGATTAAACATTTATTCAAGAATACCTAAACTTTTAGCTTTTTCTATAATAAAAATCTAATCATATTGGGAATTATTAAAACCTATTTGTATATCTGGAGCTAAATTTTTCCAACATAATGCAAATGTCTTTAGTAAGTTGGTCTGATTTTCACTATTACTGTAATCTATCTAAGATCTGGTTCTGTCTCTACATTGACTAAACATATTTGCTTAATAGATTAAGATTATTTTTCCAATAAACTGTCATGCAAATCATAAATACTTGATCCTCTTTATTTCTTGCATTAGGCAGATTCCCATTTTGCATCCACTATATGTTTCTATATCCCACATAAGGACAAGAGTGCGATCATGTGAGAGAGCTTTAGTTATTATCTAATTATCTGGCTTGTTTTCTTCTAGAGACTAATAAATATCTACAGATACGCGAAAAGAATAAAAATAATGTGGTGAATTTGTATCAGATATATAGTTATACCCACTTAGTATCACTCTCTCAGAAAGATATACCTTTTTTTCACAAGCTATTTTTCGGTGATAATGTTTGCTAGTATCATCATTTAAAGCAGTCTCCATCTCATACCTACAGACCTCTCTCAAAATTCATCTTCTATCATAATAGTTCCATGTAATAATGCAGATGTATACCTTTTCCTGGGTGTGATATCCACGAATTGAATATGTGTGGATGACTTTCATTCTAAACTTTGATTTATCAATCTTTTCTGCCCCCAATATAATTTTTACTAATCTTGGTTTGAATATAAATAAAGGTTCATTATCTGGAACAATAACATCGAAGAAAGGTTTAATACCCATGATATTTATTCTA